AGCATAAAACCTCTTGTGCGGCTTTGCGCTAAAAGTGACGAGGAAATTTAGAGTGTTCTGTAGGAAGCCTCGAAGAGCATCGCAAGAGAATATGTATGAAAACTTCAGGGTAACACACCTCAACGTCTCAATATAGTCAGACAATCTAAGAAAGTTCATACTAAATACTAGCGTGTGCTCTTAGAATTGCTATTCATCTCACTTCTTATTAACTTGGTGATGGTAATCAAATGATAACAATGTTAAGGTTTTAACATCCAATTTATTCAAAGTAGGAGAAAGAACGAGCGGGTCTCTGGCTTTTGCATAGCATCACCAAGCTTGAATTATCTTTTTTTTTTCGTTGGTTGGTAGCACTTTTACAACTTTAAGGCTGCTCTTCAGCCAACTTAATCAAAAATAACTCATAAAAGGCATATAATCTTTAACAAGGTCAGTATACATATATATATCGCATAAATCATAGTAAAAATAGCTAAAAATCAATAGTGATGATTATATATTATAAAAATTTCAAAAATATCTAAATTATAAAACATGGAAAAAACATTAAAAATCCACGTGTTATTCAATATAGATTCAAAATAATTCCAAATTTACAAGTTTTAATTTTGCATGGATTTTATATAATATATAATCATTATTTATTATTATTTTTAGAATATTTTGCTAGTATTTATGTGTTATATAAATATATACCAGGGGGGAAAACTCGTACTTCGTAACATTTATTGGTTGTGGTATTTTGTATGTGAATGCAAAAAGTTTGTAAAGGCATTTATGTGTGTTTAAGGTAATTAAAACAGTTAAGTGACCTGCCTATATTACTCACTTACGAGGTTAGGTAAGTAGAGTTGGATGGCCATGCAGGGCGTTTCAATGACTGCGAGTTTAAACCTATTCTACAACATGTAATATCCACCGAAAATCTCTAGTACAGAGACACTTTAAGCTGGATTGAATAAAAAAAAATTAAAAACCGATTGACTCATCATGTAAGAGACACCAAATCTAGCGGGGTTTTCAAAACCTGGATTTAGGGGGCAAGTATTAAACTCAACAGGGTGACCGTACTGGTACTCTTTAAGTGTCTATAATCAAATGTCTGAGGGATGACAGGCCCATTCCCCAAATACCTTTCCACTTGCAATGCACAGTACAATATACACCCACTCCTTCCTTTGCATATGATGATGTCTGTACTTATCTACTCCTAATTTTATTTATCTCATAGTTTAACGGAGTTTAAAAAGTTTTCCATACACACACGTGACTATTTTAATTAGATAGGTATTTCGACTTTTTTAAAGATTATATGACTTTTATGTCATGTTTATTATTTTTAATTAATTTGGCGGAAGAGCAGTTTTAAAGCTGCGTAAACGCTATCCGCCGATCAGAAATCACAATAAAAAGCAAAGGATAATTCAAAGCTGATGGTGTTTTAAACACACATATATATTTGGGGGGATGAGTGAGAGTTTATATTTATGTAGGATAAGA